TCAATCACAGCTTAGCGTAGCTTAGCTTAGATCCAAACAAAGACTAAAACATAATGCATCCGGTTGGCCGGTGTTATTGTACATTTTAATGTAATATACTACAATAGAAAGACGGCGTGTTAATCGTTTTACCGGTCATCTTATTATTTCACACTTTATCTTTAATAAAAGCTCGATGAAGTTACTTTTATTTAAATTAAGCGCTAACACTGAGTTGGCCTGCAGAAACCCGGCAGGCGTTAACACGACCCTTACCGGTTATTGTTTATGTGCCAACAGTCATCTCAGAGTCACACACACTGACGTTAACTCACAAAAACACCGCTAAAACTCACTGAACACAAACGCACCTCACGGTCCTTTAGCTGCTGGGTTAGCCAACATACTTCACTTCTTATTTTGAGACGACGACCCCGGAAATGAAAAAATAAACCCGGACCAACATTTCAGTTGGCCGTGGCCCGGCTGCACTAAACTGCACTCACTAGCCCATAGAAGCGAAGAAGCTTGAGTGACGGGCATATTGGCGAATAGCATGGCTTCGTTTTCATGGGGCGTGGTTTTAAGAACACTGTTTACTTCCTGATCGTGTCTATCAAAAAATGGCCTCTCTTGACAGGGTAAAAGTGTTGGTTTTGGGAGATTCCGGTGAGTTATGAACTATTTTCACAAGCAAAACCTTTACTACTGTCTGCTCTTATTTATAAGGACATTTGCTTATTCTGAACGGAACTCGCTCACTTATAAAACTCTTAATCTTTAAGTAGGAGACCGACGCTGTGGTCAGTTTGCTGCTGTGGCAGTTAAAGCTACGGATAAACATCACGTAACGCACCTGTCATGTCTAACCTCACAGGTAATTTTCACAATAAAGGTACATCGGCGAGCGACGCTGAATTTTAATACCCGTCATTTTTACATCGGTCACTTTGCGGCAGGTGGACGTAAGAAGAGTGTTTGGGTATGAAACGATTCCACATCAAGAGTTTATATTTCACAGAAACACGTTTTGCCGAATCAGAGAGCGACACCCTACAGATCATTACGGATACTCACTGATGTTGTTCCGGAGATGTTCTCTGCTGGAAGCCGAGTCTGTTGTAAACTGACTCGATGTTTCGGTGGAGTTCAGTTGTCTTCCAGTCAGCAGCAGCTGTAGAGTCTATTCATAATTTAAATCCATTAATATCGATCAGCTACACAAAAATGTTTAACCCTGCAGCCACTGCTGTGCTTTGCATCAGCTCCTTTTATCCAGTATCATTTTGTGCTCTTTGCAGGGGTTGGCAAGTCTTCCTTGGTCCATCTGCTGTGTCAGAATCAAGTTTTGGGAAATCCATCGTGGACTGTTGGCTGCTCTGTAGATGTGCGGGTAAGCAGGTCCAGCATCTTCTACTTTACAGTCCTGCTGGCCTTTTGTTTTAAACTCTTATAAAACACGACAGAACACACTAACGAGAGGGAGACAGGTGTAACGGTGAACCTGAAAGGAACAGGTGGACGGGTTTAAATACCAGGGGATCTGGGATGTCAGGGGTGATCTGTGACAGAAGGATAGCAGCAAGAGTGAGAGGGCAGGTAATGAGGCCTGCTATGGTGTATAGTTTGGTGACTGACAAAAATATAGGAGGTAGAGCTGAAGGTGTTCAGGTGTTCGGTGCGAGTGACCGGGATGGACAGGTTTAGAAATGAGTCCATCAGAGGGACGAGGCTGGGATGGTTTAGGCATGTGCAGAGAGGTAGGAGTGAGATGGAGCCAGATGAGCTATTGATGTCGAAATAATTATTCTACTCCAGGTTCAAGACTATAAGGAGGGAACCCCAGAGGAGAAAACCTTCTACATTGAACTCTGGGATGTTGGAGGATCCGTTGGCAGCGCCAGCAGCGTCAAAAGCACGAGAGCAGTCTTCTACAACTCGGTTAACGGTAAACACTTATAGACAGATCTGAAAGCATTGATTTCATCAGTGACATGTTATTGAGACATGCTCTTCATGTTTGGGTTCTTTTAGGAATTATATTGGTCCACGATCTGACCAATAAGAAGTCCTCTCAGAATCTGTACCGTTGGTCACTGGAAGCTTTGAATAAGGATTCCTCTCCAACTGGAGTCATCGTTTCAAACGGGTGAGCAGATCTGTGTGTTTGACATCGCCCGTCTTCATTCAGATACATATGGGGATAAACAGAAAACATGGCTAATGTGGAAGCTTCGATATTTGACTGCAGTGACTATGACAGAGAGCAGTTTGCAGAGAATCCGGTGCCTTTGCTGTTGATCGGGACCAAGTTTGACCAAATTCCAGAAAACAAGCGCAGTGAAGTTCTCACTCGGACGGCTTTCTTGTCTGAAGACTTCAATGCAGAAGAAATCAATCTTGTAAGTCGCCTTTTTCTGCTCTACGAGTTCTCAGCTTCAGCTGCTTTAAACCAATGAATCGGGTTCATTCATTGATTTATCTCTCACATAAAGCACAACTCATGTTTAACACTCATAAAAAAGGAAACTAGACTAATGATGAAAATAAAGCGGCGATTCACACACTTACACACCACCTACGTTTTTCAGTCAGTAATATACAAAAACAAATTCTAGTTCACAACAATAAAAACAACACACATGTATCATAAACATCACAGCATCAGTAAGCTCTTCTCTGTCCTGTGTCTGGTCCTCCAGCCTAAAATAAAACATGTAGAAGCTGCTGTGGTCAGTTTCACTGCGGGAGCTGAACTCTTTTGGTGTTGTGTTGTTTTCCCAGGACTGCACCAACCCCAGATACCTGGCTGCAGGCACCTCAAACGCTGTGAAACTCAGCAGGTTCTTTGACAAGGTGAGAGCTGTGAGCTGTGTCACTGCGGTCTGTCAGGCAGGTCGTGAGTCAGGCTACGTCCACACTAGCCCAGATAGATTAGGGTTAGGGGAAAACGCCGTTCCGGCTCTTTGAAACGTCGCGGCAAAATGTGGAGGAAAATCAGCGAGTTTGTTAAATGGACTCACAATGAGGTGGAGTTGTTGCTGCGAGTAACACAAAAGTACAACGTTGCAAAAGCGAGTGAGAATTAAAGAACTTGAAGAAAAGCTCTCTGGAGCACGTGCAGACTAATTAATCTTTAACAGGGCTGTCAAACAAAACAACTGCTGTATAATGCCCTCCGCTATCTTAGTTTAATTGGTCACATGACTAACACGCATCATCGTTTTAGAAAGTCTCTGTTTTCAAATGTGTGCGTTTTCGAAACGCCGTCTCAGTGTGGACGGGAGGCCAAAACGGAGAGACGAGGTTGCGTTTTCAAACAAAAATGCATTAGTGTGGACGTAGCATCACACGCGTGTGTGCACCTCCGTCTTTGTGCTGTAGTTACACGTGTGGATTTATCGAGAGCACAGAAGCTGTCAAACAGGGACAAACATCATTTGGGTTTCACGTTTATTTTGAATCATAGACCTGGAGGATAAACGTCTCACGTTAATGGGAGTCCTTTCTCTTGACGTGTACGTGTGTTCTGACTCATATTAAACCTTTCAACAGGTAATAGAGAAAAGATATTTCACCAGAGATCCCAGTCAGGTCAGTTTGCTTTCTCTTTGTTTCTGTCCAGTCAGAGTCGTAACAGTTTTGGTAAAAGGTTGAAGGTGAACTGTTTCCCACTTTCTTTGCAGATGACTGGCTTCACAGACAGAAAACGGTTCAACTTCAAAAGTTTGCACTATGACTGAGACCTGTGATCAGACCCCGCCCACTCAGACACGCGCTGGAAGTTTATAAAAGCTGGAAATGACATTTGAAGAAGGTGCTGAGGACAGAATGAAGAGGCATGCTTTGAGCTTTTTATTACACCATCATAAATGAGACCACACGTTTTTAGAACATATGCTTTACTGCTCCTCTGACTCGTGCATCATTCCTGCTCCTCCATTGTTTGCTTGATCCACGGGATGAAGGAGCTGACTTTAGTATAGACATGCGGGTACTGTGGATTATTACAGTCCTCTGCCCAGGTGAAGGCTGTTATACCCTGAGGCTTTGTGTTGCAGATAAGTGGCCCACCAGAGTCTCCCTACAAAGAAAGACTTGATTGAGCGATCTGTGTAAAGGTTGCACATTTTTGTCATGAATAAAAAACTAAACCTGTATTTGAGTTATTAGCTGCTGGGCTGCTTTTGTTATTTCATCACCTGGCAAACGCCTCCGTCCCGTCTGGAAAACTTGGTGCATATCATGTGACCAGAGTTAAAGTGTTTTTGCCAAATGTGTTTGCACTCAGTGCTGAACTGCATCTTCTCTGTGGCTTCTTTTAGGACATTTGAACGAGATCCATTAGCTTTGGTTAGTCCCCAGCCGGCCACAGCACATTTAATGTTGGCGGGTGTTTCCCCGTTCTTCTTGGGCAGTCTCATGGTCCTCATGTACTTATTCAGCGTGGCGTTCTTCTTCAACTGTCAAAGAGAATCAGTGAAAGTTGCTCCTGCATCAGTTCAACACATGAACCCACTGCACAGGGAATCAGGTCACTTTAAACTTTTCCTTTGATGTGAAGTTGGACAGTTTTACCTTCAGTAGCATGATGTCATATTCGTATTGTCCAGTGAACCCTGGATGAGCGAACTACTCGCCCACTTC